AATGTTTTAAATTTGCATTGTTTATTGAAAATCGCACTAAAACTACTGCGCCTTTTGAAGCAAACAAAGATCTTATTTAATGGCACAATGATTTAGTAATAATGTGCCTGTGCCTTGAATCTTGTACATATGCAATTTGTGAGGCTTCAGTTACTTATGAATTTTATAAGGCTGTGAAATAAGGCTTCCAAAGATCACCGGAATTAAATTCTAACGCTGTGATTTTAAACCTTAAAGTTAATCTTTAAACTCGTTTCCACAAAAAAAAAATGGTAAAGATATGGAAAAATATATATTTTTTATCTTTGTTTATCAAACTCCAACTTTCAAAATGAGTGCAATACCCTGTTTCCAGAATGGACATTTCCTGCCGGACAGTGAAAATTGGACAGGACTAACCCGGATGTGACGAAAAATTTTTTAATCGAAATCGTTTTTAATCTCAAATATCGTGCTCATTCGGAACAATGTCCTAAACAATTTTTTTTCGGGTATTCTATTTATGATATTACAATCACGGGGGAGATTCCGTGATAAAATGCTACCCCAGCACAGCGTACAAATGTTAACAAAATTAAAAATTATACACTGCAATAGTCCACATCTACAGATGCGAAACGTGAATTTTGTGCCGGAGGCATATCAAGAAATTGGAAAGGTTTCAAACCTGGTCGGTGTCCTTCATACTATGAATTATAATAAAACACACAGAAGTGATGCGGTTTCTACAAATATTTTCATGGCTCTGACGAGTACCCTATCTGGTACCCCATTTGGTACCCCATCTGGTACCCCATCTGCATGAATTTAAGCGTGCTTCTAGGTTGGCATCTCGGTCCCACCCTTTTACTGTTGAAAAAGTTAAATGTAACCGCCTCATCTCCTCCAACAACTTCTTCTCCTGCACTTCCCGACATTGGAACTACCTTCCTCTTATTTGCTTCCCTGACAGCTATAATCTTCAAATATTCAAATAGAATATCAATCGACATGATCCGATGCCTTGATCCTGATCCCCGTTCTTCTCTAAGTCTTTTCCTCAAACAATTCTCTCTACTCTTAGTAGAGTTTAGCTAACCAAACGAGCGAGCGAAATGTGCTGCCGACCGATCACGTGGCGTGTCATTGCACGTCAGATCTCTGCGAATTGTGAAGAAGCCGTATATATATATATATATATATATATATATATATATATATATATATATATATATATATAAAAATCAACATTCAAAGAGAACAGCGGCAACGTCATCGCTAGCATTGGTCACAATTGACTTTCAGAACTCTCACTGTGCTTCCACACTTGCTTCTGTGGGGTAACCTCCGGATGCACTGATGAACTGCAAAACGAAGTCTTCTTTGGAACCGAAGGAGAACAATGAAAGGTTAATGATGAAAAAAATTAAAAATACAACGAAACTATATAATGTTTATTATAATCACCAGTGCATTATATTAATTGGTAGGGGAGTTTTGGTTTGGTTTGGTTTGGATTGGTTTGGTTTGGTTTGGTTTGGTCTACGGCATATCAACCTCATTGGGTTATTTAATGCCGACAAGATTTTTATTGTGGTAATTTTTTTTCCAAAAATGTGTTGCTGATAATATTTTTTCTTCAAAAATCTACTGTTGGCAATATTTTTTCCCAAAAATTTATAGCTGGTAATATTTTTTTTCAAAAATATATAGCTGGTAATATCATTATTTTTTAAAATATTGGTAATAATATTTTCCTTCAAAAATTTGTTGCTGGTAATAATATTTTCCTTCAAAAATTTGTTGCTGGTAATAATATTTTCCTTCAAAAATTTGTTGCTGGTAATAATATTTTCCTTCAAAAATTTGTTGCTGGTAATAATATTTTCCTTCAAAAATTTGTTGCTGGTAATAACATTTTCCTTCAAAAATTTGTTGCTGGTAATAATATTTTCCTTCAAAAATTTGTTGCTGGTAATATTTGCCTTCAAATGTTTTTTGTTGGTAATAGTAAATTTTTCCTTCAAAAATTTGTTGCTGGTAATGATTTTTTACAAAGTATTTCTGGTACTAAAGCCTATGTTTACACTTTTGATCTCATGGTATTTTGACCCCAATTTGGGGGTTAACATAGCTGGGGCCCTAACGAGTGCTACCACACTGGGTCAGGGTGGACCTGGGAACACCAGCAATTAAGAGGTGGTTCTACGCTCCTCAAAACCTCCTGATCAGAGGCCTTGCTGCTGGATGTAGTTTATCGTCTTACCCAGGACGCGGATGTAGTTTATCGTCATACCTAGGACGGGGTAGCGGAGGTAAAAAAAAAAACAAAAAAAACTCAGTACTAAGAATGCGTTTTAAGGTCTACCGATCATAAGAAGGAACCACTCAAGAATATAGGTAAAGATAAATAGATCGTAAGTAAAAGAAGAATTTAAGGGGGCCATCCTATTTAAATACGGTAAAAAGACAAGCATTAACACTTCCTAGAGAAAGAAAAACTTGGCCAAACAGGAGTCGA